CGTTTCCGCTAGAATCGAAGTACGTAAAGTAACCCCAACATACATATATGCGGTGTGTGGTACCGTTCCACACCCCTATTTCCCGGCTTCAACCAATTAAGCTGATTTTCTGTAGATAACTATTTATTTTATTTTTATTTAATTTTTAACCACCTTCTTTGACATTTTAGCCATACAGACTGTTAAAAGTGACTTAATCCTATTCTTAAAAACTGGTCTACTTATATTAAAATCAAAAACATCACACACATCACACATCATTAAACAGTCTGCAACATCTATCGAGAGGATTGTTATAACCGTAAGCAGTACGATGTCCGGGAGTCCACAGAAAGTAATAGTTGCGGAGACGGCGAGCTGAAGTGTGGAAATTGATGTTCCTGAGCAAACAACTGCAGTCAATATGATTACTAATCATGTCAAATATGAACATCCTCTGGAAAGTTAGTGTTTGCAGTCCAATAAGCGCATATCTATGCTCGTACGGAGGTAAGCTATCTGGATTTGTCCATGACAGACGTCGTAATGCAAACTTTATAAACTGTTTCTGGATTCCCTCGATGCGCAGTACATGAACAGCATGATATGGAGCCCAAATTTGTACTCCATATTCAAGAACACTGCGGACCATAGAGCAGTACAGCGATTTCAGGGCGTACACGTCGTCGAATTGTGCAGTATTGCGGCGCAAAAATCCTAGTATGGAGTTGGCCTTTGCAACTGTCATGGAAATGTGCTCGTTAAACCGTAGTTTGCTGTCCAAGATTAGCCCAAGATCCTTAATGGCATTAACCCTTTCCAGCGGCGATTGATTCATAGAGTAATCAAAAATGATCGGAAAGTGAGAGCTGGTAAGGGTAATCACTTTGCATTTGGCAGCATAGCCTTGCATTCCATTCATCTGACACCAGGATGACAATCGCTCTATATCAGCTTGTAGTGTGCAACAATCCACGATCGATTTGATCACCCGGTACAACTTAAGATTATCCGCACATAGCAATTTATAGGAACTTAGCATATCACACACGTCGTTAATAAACAGAACGAAAATGAGAGGTTCTAGGTGACTCCCTTGTGGAACCCCCGATGGTATATGGAATACCCCGGATCTGGAATCACGTACCTTAACGAAAGCCTTCCTGGATGATAAGTACGATTTCAACCAACAAACGATCCACGGCGGAAGACCAAGACGGTTTAGCTTCATAATGGCTAGGTCGTGAGGGACTTTGTCAAAAGCCTTAGAGAAGTCGATGTAAACGGCGTCCACTTGCTGACGCTTCTCAATGCTACCTATAAGAGTGTTCGTGTAAGTCATCAAGTTAGAGACTTCAGAGAGCTTTTTCATGAATCCATGCTGAAACTCTGAGATTATGGGTTGAACAGCTGGGTACAACTTCTCATGCAGAAGACTTTCGAGAACTTTGGCCAAGCAGTTCAGGATCGAGATAGGTCGGTAATTTTCCACTTTGTGCATGTTACCGGACTTGAAGATTGGTGTAATTGAGGCGAGCTTCCAGGCATCCGGAAAAACGCCATCCTTAAGTGTTCGATTGAAAATAGGCATAACGGGAGTGGCCAACGATGCTGCACAGTTCTTGACGAAAGACGGTGGAATACGGTTCGGGCCTGGCCCTTTCGATGGATCGACTGAGCAAAGGGCTTTGCGAATAGCGTCTTGACTGAAGATGAGCTGCTGCAGGTGAATGTCGTATTTTGGTAGCTGATCAATGTATTGCTGCGGTGGGGGAGTTTGATCGGGTTCGAAAACAGGTGAAAAGGTCAGCAGAAGCGGCGTCGGTGGTGGAACTTCTACTACCGTAGGTGACGTCCACGGGAATACCAGCTGATCTTTTCCGAGAGTTGATAAAAGACCAGAACGACGATGGATTTTCCTTGAAACCCCTCTGGAGTTTGTCGACGTACTCACGAAAGTGAGCTTCCTGCAAACTGTTATACTCTGCTTCTACTAGCTGCACCGTATACTTGTTTGCTGCGGTCCGGGAATGAAAGTAACGTTTTCGAGCTTTACGCAGACGGTTTCGCAGATTACGCAATTGCGGATTCCACCAAGGTTGTTGGAATTGCAAACAAGATTTTCGTGTCTTCACCGGAACAGTATCTTGGATTACTTTATAGATGTTGTCATAGAATACGGAGACGGCGGCATCAATGGTGTATTTGTATCCAATCCAAGGCGGCAATCCTCGTGTTAACAACATCGAAATCACATTGTGCAAAATTATACTCACTGCGGGTAGCTGGGTACGGGAGCGGATGATCTCTAGAACGGGAGTCAACTTTTAGAACCAACGGCCAGTGGTGACAATCAACTTGCATAATTGTAGAGGGTGGTTCAAACAGCTCGATGCAATCGGAGTCACTGACGAGAACGAGGTCAAGAAGGTTGCCACAACGGCACCGATGGTGTAGTGGTAAGCGTGATTACCTCTCACCCCAGCAGGCCTGGGTTCAATCCCAGTCGGTGCCGCCGGGATGTTCTGAGGCATAACATCTCTGATCACGCCTTCCTTCAGATGGGAAGTAAAGCCGTTGGTCCCCGGTTCATGAGTTTGATGGATCGATAGGTAGGGTCCAGGTGTGGGAGCTGCCTCCCTAGCACGTCGGCAGCATTGGTGCTCAGCACGGAAAACAAGATCGACGGAAAAAACAAACCAAAGGGAAAAAAAAAGAAGGTTACCATTCGTGTTTACCAGATCGTTGATTTGCTTCAATCCAGCCGACAGTATGGACTCCACTACAGCGAGTTCCTGTTCTGATGAAGCATTGAGAGGCAGAAATCCTCTGACGTCCTCATCGAAGTCCCAAGCTAGGCAGATTGTAATCGCCCACAACTATGGTTGTATCGTGAGGGTTCGCCATACCAAGGAGCTGTTGTACGGACTCAGCGTGTTTGGTGTAAATGTCCGGCTGACTGTTTGGTCGAATATAGATGCAGCACAGGAAGATCGATTGGTGTTGTAAATCGACTTGAACAGCAATTTGTTAGAGGTTCTCAACGCCCACAAGATGCACAGCCTTACACTTCAGCTCGGATTTCACGGCAATTAAGACGCCACCGCCACGTCTCAGTGCGCTGGTGCGAGAATTCCGGTCACAGCGGTAGATTGTGTAGTTGCTGGAGAGTTCAGTTTTTGTCCTCAAGCCTCGGACGTTTTGATAATATACGGTCCAATCTGTGCGAATGTTGGCAGGGCCACAAGACGCTAGGTTAGGCGAGGTGCTTGATTCAGCTGACTCTAGGCGTTACTCATTGGACCAGAATCTATGTGCAGTACCGGTTTCCGAAAATTATGCGTTCTCCTTTCATCTTCAACGAACTTCCGAAATTCGATACCTTGTGGCCAAGACAAAGGATCCATCGCTTTTGTCTTCATTTCGAGATTGACTCCAACCTTGAATGAAACGAAGAACAGTGCTGACAAAGGCCGTCCTCTGGGTTTCAGAGATTTGGCAACAACTTCATCCGTATTCAAACAATCTTTGGCAAGTTTCTCGATGTCTACCTCCGATACATCTGGTGATATTTTTGTTAGATACAGCCAGAACTTGACGTCGGATCTACTCATTGGGGCTGATGTCACGTTGAGAGTTGATTGGCCTGTGCCAAGTAAAACTTTGTTAGGCTGATCGGATGCCGATGATTCGTCGTCACGGGGTCTCTTTAGCGTTTTTGGATTACATTCGAGGAGGAAGAGGAGATAGCACTGCTGGAGAGAGCTTGTTGAATCCGCCCTAGATCTCCTGCCTAATTTCGGCAATTAGGCTATTTATCTCACTCTTGATCTCCTCAATTATTTTATAGTACGTGTCGTTGAGATCGATCGTAGCCGCGTTCGTTGGTGTCATAGCAATTTTAAAGCGAGCGTTATCCATGATGTCGTGGCATCCTTTACACATCCAGAAAATAGCACACTTACCGCTTATTTCTTTGTATAGTTCCTCCGTTATTTGTGCACAACTGTAGTGGAAGACAGCTTTACAAAAACCACCGCAAACCACATCCCCAGTGGTAATGCTGCGCGCGCAGCTATGACAAACTTCCGTTGTGGCCATGAGGAACTTTGCTTCTCAGCCGGTTAGCAACGAACGGTGGAGTTGCTCTAATTGTAGTACAGGTACTGACAAACAGATGGCGCCACTAGTGAGATCCAAGAACATCCCAAGATCTGTCACCAGGCTCTCTCTACTTATACGAACACCCGACAAAGAATAGTCGTAGATATGAGGACTCTGGCTTGTTGTGAGTGAAGTTCCAGCGGACTTATTCGGGTTTAGCACCATCCTGTTCAAATCGCACCAGTCAGCGATAGCTGGCCTTAGGAAAAAAAATTCGTATCGTGTGGTTTAGCTATTTTCCAAAATATTTTGAAATCGTCTGCATGTGGTAAACGAGGTCCTTCTAGTTAAATTTTGGTGTCATTCAGGTACAATAGGAAAATTAGCGGATTCAGATGGCTACCTTAAGGAACTCCAGAAGAGGCAGAGAAGGCATTAGAGAGGCAGTCTCCAATCTTGACGTTAGGACGCCAACCGATCCAGTAAGATTGTAACCAATCAAGAAGACAGCCGGTGAAATCAAACCTGGCAAGTTTAGCTACAGCAATTTCGTGGTTGATTTTGTCGAAAGCGGACTCTAAATCTGTGTATTTAGATAGCGTCGGTCTGCAGTCCTTCAGACCAGTGCCTTAGATTATCGTTATTTATTCACGAAAGGAGAAATTATTCTTTTCTCAGTGTGGGATGACTCTTCTTCTATTGACACACAACATCATTTCTGTCATGTCAATGATAAATTAATTTTGTTTACCTTATTGAATGAATAATCCATTTAATGAATTTCAAAAGCCTACAATCATTGATATTTCTTACTGTCAATGGTTTGAAGTGATAATCAGACAAGCAAAGTTGATATTTATCTCTGGTGGTGAAATTTTATAATTGAGAAAGACGAGTTTGATTCTGCATCCGAAATAATGGAAGAAGCAGGTCCATCATCTAAAAAAGGACAACAACGACGCGATGACAACAAGCGCCCTCTCCAGGAAATTGCATTATCGTTTATTCATCGGGAAGGGAACAAAGGTATCTGTCGTATTGAAGAGAGCAGCGGATGTACCTACGTCCAAACGACTATGGATGTCGGTAATTTTATCCGTCATTTCCGCACAAAGCATACAGATGCTGCGAATAAATGTGGCTTGCTGAAAGAAACTGATGCTAGCGCCAAGAAGCCAAGACTGGTGTCCAAACGATCCATAGCCATTGATACGCCGCTGTACATGGACTCTATTGTCAAATTATTGACCTACCATCAACTCCCTCTTTGCTTCGTAGAGTGGGAAGGGATGAAACAACTCATGGACCCAATATCTGCTGCACTTGGTGTTACAGTAAACAGAAACAATGTAAAGATAATCACGCACTCCGTCACTGATCAAATTCGTAAGGGTTTAAGTGATGAACTGAAGAACAGGTTGATTTCACTGAAAGTTGATTCAGCATCACGATTCAACCGACACGTTCTCGGCATAAATGTCCAGTATTTTTTGGATAGCAAAATCGTCATTCGGACATTAGGTGAGTGTTAACATAGCGTTGAAACAAAGAGATTAGTGGGATGTTTCATTCAGGTACATTATGGAGACAATACATACTGCAATGTGGTAGTACAACCGCTATAATTTTACCATATACCATACGGTTTAATCACTTGGTATATGCTAAAACCATAATAGTTGTAAAATCAAATTGTAGTGAGTAGTTATGTTATAGCCAGCGGAAGCATAATTATTGTTCCATTTTCAATTGAGCATCCTAAACACATGGGACAGTTATGTGTTCACTTGTAGATTATACCTATGAGATAAATTTTATGCTTGATTATCCTGAATTAAACTTAAACTAGTTAGCAACTGCTATCATTCTCTTTTGAATGAACTTAATTTAGTTACATGTAATATATTTCATGGTATTTATTTGAAGTACTTTAATATGTAACACCTATAACATTCTTACAAATTCTTGTATTTCCATGTTACCATTCCAGGCATGATTGAGATAAAAAAACGACAAACGGCAGCTTTTTTGAAAATTAAAATTTTAAAGGTTCTTCAGACATACGGAGTTACTGTTAAGCAAATATTTTCGGTAACATGCGACAATGGAGCAAATATGCTGGCAGCTGTAAAAGGGCTGAAGAAAGAATTTGATTTTCTAGTCTCACAGCAGCTAGAAAATGTAGACCTTCTGGGTGGCACAGAAACCGAGGGCTATACTGAAACCGAAACCGAGACTGCTGAAAACAATCAAGACCAAGAGCTTTCCGATGCACTTTCAACTGAATTCCATCAGGATCAGTTGAACCTTGTAAGATGCTCGGTACACACATTGCAATTAGCTATTCTTGACGTTGTTAACAAAAGTGACGAATCCATCAAGCAAATAACTGGTGTGGCAAAAAAATGCAAAGGAGTCAAATATAAGACACATTTTGACTATCACAGTGCTACTTTCCCACCGGTTTGGGGACAAATCAGATGGAGAGGTATTTACATGATGCTGGATTGCTTTCGCAGACAAAAAGAATTTTTCAATCAACTGGCACTCCAATTTCCTGAGCTCGGTAAGTTTAGGATGTGCTTTAGATCATATGGTTTTTATTTTCACAGCCTTGATTTACAGCTCTCACTCCGAAACTCTGGGATTTCATTGAAAATTACGTTCAAGCCTTCGAACCTCTTTACATTTGCACCAAAAAAATGCAAGCAACTCACGTTTCGTTGCCAGATTTTTATTTATCATGGCTGATGGCAATCAACGAAGTTCAGAAGATGTGTTCGAATCCGTTTGCTCAGCCACTGACTAGATCCTTAACAGACCGCCTTGGCAAGCTAGAGAAGTCACAAGCATTTCAAATGTCACTGTACATGGATCCACGTCTGAACTATTTGAATTCAAAATTGTTCAGCAACGATGAGAAGCAATATATACAGATACGATATTACACGTATCTTGTAACCGCGATAAGTGATAAACATCTTTTAAAAATTTTATTCTCATATATTTAGAACTGCATTAAAGACACCTGGAACAGGATCAACCAACTAAAACCGTCTACATGTTCCAGTGAAACAGTAGAAAACGAGACCAACAGCAGCAGCCAATTTGACGAGTTCCTCACCGAACTTTTTGGTGGAACTCTGTCGAACACGGAAAACTCAAATGACTCTTCGTTTGAGCAACAGTTAAGAGCACTAGATGCTGAACCGCGACAAAATCACTCTTTCGATGTGTTTCAATATTGGTTGATACGACGAAAGACTCATCCAGAACTCTTTGAGGTAGCCATGGTTGTGCTAGCAACGCCATCAAACCAGGTGTCTGTAGAGCGTGCATTTAGTGCACTTGCGTTGGTTCTATTATCTCACAGAGCTACCTTGGGGCATGGTGCATTGGAGGACATTTTACTAGTAAAACTAAATCGAGACATTTTTGAGAAGGTATCTGCATCATGCGATTGGTCTGGCATTGTAGGGTGTGCTAAATGATTTCTGAAAGTTTTTTTTGTTAGTACGTTATGGCATCGAATACATGAATACAATAAATATTTGCATAAAAACTATACATCTAAATAAATGTTCTTTCATAAAAGTTCAACCAGTAAATAAGCACCAACACAACCGATTGTAGAAATTCCCTTATAAACTCTTATTTATTTGCATCCTGACGACAGTTTACATTACGATCTCCTACCTTCAACAAAACATTCACTGAAACAAGAACTCTTCGTTTTCTCATTACACTTTTCAGGTTTTCTCAATAGCACAATTTCAATTCACCCACCAATATTAACACTAACTTCAACAACCATCCACGACACTTTTTTTATCAACCTACTGACGCAATTTAGTTTAACAATGAAAGTCGTAGTCCTGCTCGGATGAGATGCTCGAATAGGTGAAGCTGGCGGGTTTTTCGTGTTGAGCCGAGTTGCTGAAATTTTTTCCTTTTCCGGTTTCTGCTGCGATGGGCACAGGTAGACTTCTTTGCCGTTCTCCCAAATTGTTTTAAGTTGGTCGTCATGCGGGTTGAAGATTTTGTGGTCATTTTCCAGCTTGGAGAGAAGCTGCAGCCGGTGGATGTGGTTCTGCTAGTTGGCAATACTAATTTTCTCATAGTGCATTTTTTCCCTTTCCAGTACTGCCTCTAGTTGCATGGTTTTCAACTGTTGCTCCAAGCGGTCTGCTCTCATTTTTCTAACTCGATTGATTTTTGTTGCTCCAAGAAATCTGTAATAAAAATAATTTTTTTTTTGTTTTGTCTTTCGACTGGCTAAGACCACAGTTGGTCTATCTCGCCAAATAAATTATTGCAGAGCAAAACAAATAAGAATTAAAAATTATTACCTTCAATCGCAATTGGTTGAACTGTTGATTTGATTTTCACTAACATGAATTGAACTTCATTTTTGACGTTTAAAATATCAAGATGATAATGAAGAAGCAACTGATAATGAACTTCAAAAAATGTTGAATTGACGAGTGCACGGATGGATTTGAGTTCACTCACTCGACAAAAAGTGACACAACAGCGGGGCCCTGTTTACTAAAAATGAACACATATGTGTTCATTTTTAGTAAACAGGGCCCCGCTGTTGTGTCACTTTTTGTCGAGTGAGTGAACTCAAATCCATCCGTGCACTCGTCAATGTTGATGTTCATCCGTCAGGTGTTCATTGATTGTCGTGTTTCAGCATTGTCGACCCTCGCTTGAATAGTAGGTTATCAATATAAGGTAGGCTGAAAATCGCTGTATTTGAATATCGTGAAAGTGAATAATCTCAGAAGTTCAGACATTTCGTCAACAACGTACGTAGTGAAGCAGTAGTTGATCCTTTCGGCATAAAACCATGCTTATGAGATGAGCTGCTTGCATTGGAAAAAAATAGAATCCAGCACCACTAGTTCGAATAATTTCGATGCCGCACAAAGCGCCGAAAAACCCCGTTCATTTTCAACGTTGGTTTTGTAATTTTTTTTTTGTTTACAGGGAACATTTTTTTTTTTGTTATTCATTTATTTGATAAGGCTCAACCGAATTAACTTTACAGAGCCGAGGATTCTTGTTCACTATACAATACATCTTAAAACTTTAGTCAAAAGGTACAACACAATAAACATTTTATCTTCCGCTATCCAATAAGCCTCCTCCACCAGAACAGGAGCCGCTTCCAGTGGTTTCATTGTATGGTAGATTCACCAACGGGGGTGAGAGTGCCTTCAATGCAGCAATGGACGCAAAACGTGGTCAGCACTCACACATTCATCACAAAACGGTTGCTTTCCAAAGTCCACGACACATCGACCGAAAGAACTACTGATGAAGAACAATTAGGAGGACCACACAATGGTTGCTGCCGAGTAAACAGACGACCGCGTCTGCTTCTGTCGACAGCCGAGTGAACACTGGACAGGGAAAATATAAGCTGTCTTCCATAGTTGATATATGTGACGTAGAGGTGTGAGTAAATTATCGATGCACTTCTTCACCAATACTGTAGTTTCATCGTCGTCAATCTAAACTCTTGATTCTATTCCTCGCTTGTAAATTGTCTTCTATGCATCCGATTGGCTTCAACTTTCAGTCTGATCCTCGCTCTTCAAATTACACCTTCTAAATCCAAAATTAAAAAGCAGACACAAAGACCCACCACCTTGCCGTAGCCCTCTTCGAAATTCAAAGGAACTCGATAGTGTCCTCGAAATTTGGACTCACGCATCACCAGTACTGGACTGCTCGTTGGTTAGATTAAGTAAGGGTAAAGTTTAGTGCTACTTGGGCCTGAGTACAACTGTAAATTCCAAATGAAACATACATAGGTCCACAAAGGGATCTAGGAAACGCAAATACGTGTCAATGCCAATAGCAATAAGTTCGAAATGAAATAAGTTTGCAGCTAAATTAATCAGCGTTCGAATGACATCCGAAAAGCTTCCGAAAATTGGCCCCTAATCCAATGTAGGAGCAAAGCTCAGCTATTACACCCACTGTTGGTATTTTTCCATCAACCGTTACCGTTAACAGCTCTAGAAAAGCACGCAACATGTCCAATTTATTTGTTTCCAATTCTTTTTTACTTGCCGCAATAGCAGATAAGCTCTACATTGATTTTTTTTCCGAACTCTGCATTGATTTAGGGAAAAAATCACGCATGCTTTCACCGGACCCGCATGGCTTATGTACGTACAACGTCATAGGGAGATTTTTTTGTGCTTTTGTTTAACTCCAGTTCGGTCGTCCGGTCACTTGAACACATCCTCTGGCCAGGCCCAGCAGAGCAGCCCAACCCTGTGCTAGCAATAAAAGTGATTTTCGATCCAAGCGGATTTCGAACCACTTAATGGGAGTGAAATTTCAATAAAATGCAATCGATGGACGCTCAACGATGGCAAATATTGGAACCGTGGTTGTTAGTAAAAATGGCCGATATGGGACAGAGGCACCAGGATATTTTTCCCACCACGACGGACATGTTGAAAGCCGGATTTGCGGTATTGGAGAGAACGCATGTGTCATTAGTGCTGGCCCAATTTATGTTTGACGTATCGGGAAGGTTGAGGGATTGCTCGGCAGGAAACGCTTCACGATATAGGCTTACTTTGTTTGCGTGAGAAGGATTTATTTGATGGAATGCTGCGTGATTCGAAATTTGCTATCGCAATTTGCGAGCAGGGGTTGGATTCAAATATGAAATAGACCTTTTGTATTTACTTCGGGAATTTGGCTATGTTCAGTCATGTAGGTTCGATGTCAAGAGAGAAGTGCTCTCTTTGATGTGGAAGAAGAAGGTATACTGACCTATTGGTCATCCTGATGATAATGCGATATTTCGCTATCGATTTCCGTTCATATATGATATACCGATCCCTGTTTCTTGAAGCCAACCTCCATAATTCAAAAGAGCAAACATGAACACCCCCCCCCCTCAACTTCCATACAACTGTGATGATGCGTACGATTTGCAAAAGTTATGATACTTTCGTACTCCCACCCAAACCACATCCAATCAACCGACAACGAAAACGACGCCCGCCAACGACGATGTGGAACCGGGTGGGAGCGGATTCTACTTACAACATTACTCACAGCAGAATCGGAAGTAGGTTATCGATTTTTATTGGCAATGTGCTGCCCCGGCGAAATTTATCTACAACCCTCCAGACCGATTTCGCTCGATGCCGTTTATCACCATCAGCTGGCGTGAACGGGTTTTCACGATGATAAACATCTGTATCTGATAAAGGAGTACACTGCCAACCCTTCGATACAATCGTTGACGTGGTGGGCGGTGGTGGTGGTGAAGGTGGTGGTGCAAGCAGGGTTTCAGTCGAAGAATTTACAGCTTGTTGGAAAGTTTTTCACCCTGATCGACAGCTTGTCGATAAAATCAAATTAGTATAATGGAGCGAATTAGAGTTGCCTCTGCAGTGGGTGTTCCGGAAAAGAGGGGTTACAAGTTTGTTAGACACTCATAATTTTTGAACTGTGAATAAACACAATTGTGGCACGATGGGGGCTACTTACTCAGTGATGATTAAATTTCCGGAAAATCTTCATACCTGAAATGAAGGAATGGAAAAGAATGATGCTTAGTGGATGGTTTCTGGCGTGTGAATTCATTGTTTTTTTTTAATTACTTCATTATTAAAGTGTTATTTAAATTCATTGGTACCAAAACAACTTCTTGTATGCCTTCCTGGCGTCGGTAGCATTGGTACTCAGTACGGAAAACAAGATTGACGGAAAAAAAATCAGGAGCTTTAACTTCCCTGATTTTATGCCTCGGAAAATCCCGATGGTGTAGACTGGGATTGAACTCAAACCCTTTGGAGTGAGAGGTAACCACGCTTACCACTACACCACCGGCGCCACTTGATTATAATTTGCTGGTGATCAATAAGACGACTTCCTGTTTACTTACAAAACCTGTCTACGTTAACTGACAACAAATTTCAACTTTGTCATCGAAGTTTTTTTTTTTTTTTTTTTGGTGTTCACTCGGCTGTCGACAAAAGCAGGCCACTCTCGATGTGTGCTACGCGATCGTCTGTTTTCTCGGCAGCAACCATTGTGTGGTCCTCCTCATTGTTCTTCATCAGTAGTTCTTTCGGTCGATGCGTCGTCGACTTTGGAAAGCAACCGTTTCGTGATGAGTGTGTGAGTGCTGACCACGTTTTGCGTCCATTGCTGCAATGGACGCGCTCTGACCCTCGTTGGCGTACAACAATTTGCCATACAATGAAACCACTGGAAGCGGCTCCAGTTCTGATGGAGGAGGCTTTTTGGATAGCGGAAGATAAAGTATTTATTGTGTTGTACCTTTTGACTATAGTTTTAAGATGTATTGTATAGTGACCAAGAATCCTCGGCTCTGTAAAGTTAATTCGGTTGAGCCTTATCAAATAAATTAATAAACAAAAAAAAAAAAAAAAAAAAAAAAAAAAATCGAAGTTTTTTTTAGATCTCGTGATTCCGGCCACGATGCACA